CCAGAGGCAAAAACATCCAGCCCTTGATTTCAAATGAGGTGAGCTCATCTGATTCAAGGCCCAATGTAATTGGGGAAGGTCTTCATTCTGAAACTAAAAATAGAAGACTCTGTGACTCAATCCAATCTGAAACAGACAAGATTTTGCTCGATGATTTCATGTTAAATTAAAAATTACCAACAAAGTTTTTCATTAGGAAGCAAACATAAATTAGTACCTTATCTTCAAAATCTGTTTTTGATAGATCCAAGGATGTCATTCCCTTGGATCCATCTGGAAATTGGGAGTGAAGGTTTAGTAATTAATCCAAATAATTTGATTTAGCCCAGATGAGATTGATTAATTCTTCATGAGACCCCTACACAGAGCACCATATGGAAGGGTAAAAACTGATGAATTACTTGTTGCTTCATTTAGACTGCACTTCATTTTGCATTTCATAGCGGAGCAGCAATGATTAAAATCCATAAAAATAAACGTAACCACGCCTCTGCCTCACCCCACATCTGGGAATGTTGGCAGGGTAGTGCAGGAGGACTAAAAGTTTAAAACAACAAAAGATAAACACCCTTAGGAATGTATCAAGAGGTGGATATTACATTGGTAAAATTACAGTTTCCTACTGGACTATAGGCAAGGCTGTACATTCTGTCAAAAGAAGAGACCCTGGATCGAGAAAAAAACTAAATAATCTACAAAACAAATAGGTCATGTTGCTGATTTACTGAGAGTACAAAAAGCACAGTTGATATTCAGTACTTAACATGGGAAATTAAACATCTGCCTGGAACAGACTATATGAGTCTTTAGCCTGTGACTGTATGTTTTGATCATAAGATGATTAGGTCATTCAGCCCTTTGAGTCTGCTCTGCCACTCAATAAGATCATGACTGATCTGAGTGTGGCCTTAACTCCACATTTCTGCCTGTCACCTATAAGTGTCAAGTTCTTTTATCAATCAAAAGTCTGCCTAACTCAGCCTTAAATATATTGAGTGACCCAGCCTGCAATGGTCCCTGTGGAAGAGAGTTCCATTGACAAATGGCCTTCAGGGAAGAAATTCCTTATCATTGTCTTAAATGGGAGACCCCCTGGTTCTAGATTGGTCCACAAGAGGAAACATCATTTCAGTTACTAGCCTGTCAAGCTCTCTCACGAGTTGTATACTGCAGAAAGATCATCCCTCACTCTTTAAAAATCCAATTAGTATCGGCCCAACCTAATCAAACTTTCTTTATGAGGCAACCCTTTCATCTCAGAAATCTGCCTGGTAAATCTCAAAATCATCAACAGAAACTCTTAATTTATTTATTTTACAAAAGCATATGCCTAGGTAAATTATAAGGCACTGTGGATTGTGCTCCAGAGATTTGGATGCCCAAGAAACTTCATCACAATCCTCCAATTGCTTCGTGATGATATGACTGCAACTGTTCTGAGTGGGACATCTGATATAGACTCCTTCTAAATCTGGACTGGATTCAAATAAGGCTGAGTAATAGCCCCATACTATTCACAATCCACCTGACTGTTGCTATTCAAGAGATCAACTGCCCCATAGTGAGACTATTAAACACTGTTTAGATAGAAAACTCTTTAACCTCAGTTAAAATTAAACTGACCACCACACACATACATGAACTGCAATACGTTGATGACTACAGTGTCATTAGTCATTTTGCTATAGACCTGCAAGCCTTCCCAAGCTCTTCAGTTCTGCTCATGAGAGACTCAGTCTGCCCTTGAAGGAATGGAAACAAACCTCGTGTCAACACAGACCTGGTCAAATATTCCACATCCCATATGTGTTGAAGTGCTGACTCTGGAATATGGTGAGCCCTTTCCAGACCATGGCAGCCACCTTTCTGAGAAGGTCACCGTTGTTAAGAAGACCCAATACCGGATCAGCCCTGCCAGCCCAGCCATTTACAACAGTGTTTGACAAAAAAGACCTCTACCATTCTTCAAATGCCCCTGTGTACAGAGTAATTATCATCACTACATTCCTGTTCAGAAATGAAACCTTACACTAGAGACTATGCAGAAATTCCACCAGCAATGGCTCTGCCATACTCTTATTCAATGGGAGTACTATGGAGCAAATGCTAGCGTTCTCCCTGAAGCCAGTTCTACAAACATTTAGGCAAAACTCCTACAAAACCAGCTACCAGATATTGTATCCAGATGTTTGAGATGCATTTTCCCACCAGGATCTATTTCTCAACTACCAGATGGCCTGTGTTCTGGGGCAGACAAAGGAAACACTATAAAGATACTCTGAACCTCTCCTTGAAGCATGGCATTAATGACTCAGAGGACCTCACCACCGGTTGTTCAAAATGGTGACAATTTGTCCATCGAGTTGCATCACACTTTGAGTCTAAATGTTTCAATCATCAACAGAGCAGCAGCAGAGGAGGGAAGAAAATGAAACAAATCCTGCATTCTGGAACCACACATCTATTGGCCATCCAATTGCCCAAAGATGTGTGTGTTGAGAATCAGCCTATTCAATCACATGAAGACCCACGGCAGAAACTCACAACACTGACAGCAATCATCTTTGAATTGAAGAACATATGACGATGGCTACAATTGCCATGAAGACCAAACTTATTGAATCTTCAAGAAGAATAAGCATGAATGAACTCTTATTATATTGTGCTCCATTCATTACTTCACCAGAGACTCCCTCCACTGCACCATCCATCTCAGAGAAGGACAGTGCAGCTAAGTCCACAGGAACACCATCAATTCCAAGTTCCCCGGCAAAACAGAAACCAGCCCAATGTGGACTTCTAACACTCTCCTTTCCCTGTCACTGTAGGAATATAAAATTTCTTGGGATTCCCAACTTTCAGAGTACCGCCAGCCTGATAATCTGCTTTGTTTCAAGGAATGGTCTATTATTGTCTTCAGAGAGAAATTAAGGTTGAACAATAAATGCAATCTTGTCAGCACTGCCCACATCTCATATAGAAATAATTTTTAAAGCTACAAGCTGCTTCATTCCTAAAGTTATGGCTGAAGATCCATTGGGTCGTTGAAACAACTCAAAACATAATGGACTTAATGTAAATAAAACAAACATCACAAAGAATTTTCACAGGATGTCTTCACCACTGCAACTTTAGTGGCTGTGATAATGTACACAGAAAGATATAAGGAAATTCATTATCAATTACTTTGCTGGTCCTAACAAAAGTAGAAATGTTGGGTTGTATTTCTTGTATAGAGATATGAGCCCCTCTCTGCCTGCTCTTTTGTTTTAAATTTGGGAACAGAAACTGAATTTTAAAATCAAGCTTTTACAGGAAACTCTCAAGAGTTCTCTTAATTGTCCACTGTGACTGTGTCAAAATATTGGCTGAGATCCTGGAGAAATGGCATAAATGACAGTTCCCTCTGCAGTTTCTGTTACATTTCAGTGAACAATCAGAAAAAAATGAAGCGCAGAAATGTATGCTCAATAGTGTCATGGACCTCTATGCTAATCCCTGTACATCAGCAAGACGGGATCAGTGTAAGTTTACTTGAACCATATTCCCAACAGACTGACTATTGTTTATAGTGGTGGATAAATATCAACTGAGCCTCCCACGATCAAAAAAGCATATTTAAAATCCAGCCTCCAAGGTAAAATTGGGAGTTGAATTTAAAACTGAATGCTGCTGCACGTGGCTCCAAGAAACCCAGCTGTGAAAGTGACACGTGAGCTGTCAGCACATGCCAGGTTAAGTGATTTATAACAGCACTGCTTTGGCCCTAAAAGATTGGAGTGCTCCACCCATTTCCCCAGTCTTCACCAATTCCAGTCTTCATTCTTTCCAAAGTCCCAGTCTTCCCAATTGCTAACTTTTCCACACATGCCCTAGCCTTCAGACAATCAGACCTAAGTGCTCACTCCTGTTTCTCAACCCCCTCCTGATGGTAGTCCAGATTGGCGGGGAACAGCCACAAGGGTTATGACCTGCGATCTGCTACTGAAGGTATTCCCTCCTGCTTGAGTTTTGTATTCACGAACATTAAACAAGAACTAAATCAAAAACACCCAAGTGAAATCCTTCTATTAAGAACAGCCCTGCCCACATTCCCTACTCTAGCTCCAGAGATCATAGTAGGGAACTTGAACATACTGTACATCTGTCTCAAATACACAGTGTAAGGTAAACTGCCATGTGCTTGGGTGAAGCTCAATCAAGTCTGCCCTTACAAAGTGCCTCAACTTGAATCTCAAAAGCAGACACTCCACAAACATTTATTGTAAGTTTTAATTTTAGTTTTCACATTGTGGGTGTTATTATAACATTTACCACTGGATGGAAACCAGATAGCAGCAAACTGATAGCTTGCTTTACATCCTGCACAGAAATATATCTGGCATTTGCAGGATGGGATAGTCAATTCACATTGCCCATTTGTCCCCAATAATAAAAAGTAAGCCATAGTCTTTATTGCATGCTGTTTTTTGTCACCTATGCCTTTCCTATATTTTTTGGCTATCATTTACATATCCTACAAGCATATCCAACTGAGACAATGTTCTCCAATGCCAACTTGATACCTGGACTCAAGAGGTTACCTACTGAACCAAGCAGATACTCAGCAACTTAAATCAGGCAATCACCTGTCATTTTATTCTATTTCTATTTCCCTAATTCATTTTGCTGGTCAGCATCTGAGTACAGTCTTTAGTCAAAGATGGAAGGTCACAGTGATGTCTATGGGTATTAGACAATGATGCTTATGGATAAATGAATTTCCAAGAGGTTCTTATATCTTTAATAAACCTGGCACCCACACAGTCTTCACTTAGCAAGAAGAGCATACCTTTTATTGATTTGGAGCACTATAGTATAGGTGTTTTAGCACACAGTCTAAACCCAGCTCAGGACACCAGGGGGGACAAAGATCACAAGGATATTAAATGGGTTCTAAATCATCAATAAAATAAGCATCTGTTATAATATATAATAAATTTGAAGCATTGAAAGATTACCTGAACAATCTCTAACATTTCTGACTTGCTGATGTATCCATTTCCATCGAGATCATACATGCTGAATGCCCACTTTAGTTTCTGCTCGAGTTTGCCTCTCGATGTAACACTCAGTGCAATGATAAATTCTCGGAAATCTATTGTCCCATCTCCATTGGCATCAAAAGTGCGAAAAACGTGCTCAGCAAATTTGGAAGCATCCCCATAGGGAAAGAAGTTCCCGTAAATTTTCTTGAATTCTTCCATTGATAAATTCCCACTGGGGCAATCCCTGAGGAAGCCCTTGTACCACTCTTGGATTTCATGCTCTGTGAAGTCTGTGCTGTCCAGCAAATCCTGCATCACCTCAGGCCGTAGTTTGCTGTTTTGCTTCCCCATCTTGAACTTGAAAATGTTCAGCTGCAGAACAATTCCAAAAGAACATTGATTTAAGTCAGAGTTAAGAGCAGGAGCCAATTTAATCTGCCAAGGAAAAAGATATTTCTGACTAGCAACTGCGTGATGTCAAAGATTTTTTAAAAATTGAAAAAAAATAACACGCTGAAAATAGAAACAGAAAATATTCAATATAATCCATGGGACACTCAACAACAGAAGGATACAAGTAAGTTAATCTCGTGTTTGTGAACCATAGGATGATCTTTATTTGAGAGAGTTCTAAAGCATTACCAATAAGATCTCTTGCGTATTCACGTCAGAAGAGACGTCTTGCTGGATATTAAAAAGACACTGAATTAATGAGATAGATTTCTCAAGATATTTTCACACTATATTTGTTGAGGGAACCAGAAAAAAAGTTCACCATTGCTGTCAGTCAATTTAAACACATGTAATGTAATGATCTATTCCAATCCAATTTATATCACCAGATAATAATTCAGAGGAGACAGCTCTTGTGGCAAGGGAGTAGATACCCTCCCTCTGAGCCAGAAGGCCTAAGTTGAAGTCCCATCTGCTCAAGAGGTGTAACACAACGCATCTGAACAGGCTGATTGTAAATATCTACAATACAGTAGAATTTTTTAAAAAAATGTCACTTTTCTTAAAAGTTATTTGAAAAAACATTCATTGTTAGTTTGTTTGCAGATTAATGTAATAGAATTAATTACCAAAGGCATTTCTGAGGAACTTTAAATTGTATACAAGTCTGGGACAATCAAATTGATTGGAGTTTTTTTGTATTCATTCATGGGATGTGGGCATTGCTGGAACAGGCCAGCATTTACAGACATCCCTAGTTGCCCTTGAGAAGATGATGGTGAGTCATGTCCTTGAATCACTGCAACCCATGTGCTGTAGGTAGATCCAGAATTTTGACCCAGATGGCAATTTGGTTCCAAGTCAGAATGGTGAGTGTCTTGGAGGGGTGTTTCCATGTATTTGTTGCCCTTGTCCTTCTAGAAATAAAGGGGTCGTGGGTTTGGAAGATGGTGTCTAAGAAGCTTTGGAGAATTTCTGCTGTGCATCTTGTGGATGGTACACACTGATGCTACTCAGCATCGATAGTGGAGAATGTTAATGTTTGTAGATGTGGTACCAATCAAACGGGTTGCTTTGTCCTGGATGGTGTCAAGCTTCTGGAGTGTTGTTGGAGCTGCACCCATACAGGCAGAGGACTTTTCCACCACATTCCTGACTGTGCCTTGTCAGAAGTGGGCAGACTGTAGTGAGTCAGGAGATGAGTAACTCAGCGCAAGATTCCTAGCCTCTGACCGGCTCCTGTATTCGCAGTATTTATATGGCTATGTCAGTTCAGTTTATGATCAACAGTAACCCCCAGCTTGATGATAATGGATGATTCAGTTAGCATTTCTCTCAGTGGAGATGGTCATTGTCTAGCACTTGTGTGGTATGAATGTTACTTGCCACTTACCCGCTCAAGCTTGGATATTGTCTATGTCCTGCTGTATTTGGTCATGGATTGTGCTCTAAATGATGAGTTTGTAGATTGATTTTGTGTATACATTGTGGAACCAAGCAGAGATAAAGCTATCTTAGATCTAGAATTTAGTAATGAGGCTCGGATAATGAGGAACGACGTAATAAAAGCCACACTGGGAAACAGTGCTCATAAAAGCATTCAATTCCACGTTAAGTTTGAAAGTGACATACTCCAATAGCAAACAAGAACCTTAAACTTAAACAAAGCCATTTACGTACGTCTAAGGGGTTGGGTTGATTGGGTCATTAGACTTAAGGTTATGGTGGAAAAATGAACAGCGAAAACATTTCTTAAAAATTTGAAATGCATAAAATCATTTCACTGAAAAACAGCAAGGAAGTCATTTTAAAAACTGTTATGATGAAAAGTAGAGGCTTGTGTAGCTGCAAAGAACGTCAGCAGGTCTGAGGATTGGGAGTGTTTTAGAAACCAGCAAAAGGCCACCAAAAAGTTACGTCATTATAGTACAACTTACCAGTTGCATATCAGAAATAGAGAGTAATCTAGAGGCCAAGAAGAGGACGGAATTTTTTATTAACTCATGGGATGTGGGTGTTGCGAGCTGGGCCAGTAATTATTGCCCATCTCTAATTGCCCTTTGATCGGAGTGGCTTTCTTGGGCCATTTCATAGGACAGTTAAGAGCCAACTGTGGGCCTGTAATCACATGTAGACCAGGCCAAGTAAGGACAACAGATTTCCTTCCTTAAAGGACATTAATGTTTTATCGCAGTAATCAACAGTGGTTTTTTGCAAGCTTTTCTTTTCGTCACCAGCACCCTTCCCACATTTTCTGGTTGTTATTTACATATTATAGAAGTGTATTCCAGCTGAGACAATGCACTCCAATACCAACCTGTTACCTTAACTCAAGACATCATGGTTCAACCATGGCTGTCATTGGGATAGCTTTGAATTCCAAATTCTTATTCACTTCATCATTGCCACGAAATCAATAATATCAACAGGGATAAAGTGTCGGAGAAAATCATGAGAATAAAATCTGACAAATCCCTGGGACCTCATACATTATGTTTCTGAAAGAGATAGCTGCAGGGATTATAGATGCGCTGGCTAAGATTTTCCAAAACTCCTTAGATTTAGCTGCATCAAATTATAAGTTGTCAAATGTAATACCACTTTTCAAGAAAGGAAGTGGGAGAGAAAACAGAGCATGACAGACCAGAAACCTTAACAAACTGGGAAAGTGCTGAAATCAATTGAGGAAATCTTAACAATGCACTTAGGAAAGTAGAGTACAGTACAACATGGGCTATTATTTTCCTTTGTTTTGTTTGAAGTGTGAGGCGGGAGTCTTTAAAGGTGAGAAACGCCTCCCCACCTTACTCCTACCAATGAGGAAAGCCGTCAGCTTGTTGAACTATCGATGGCACAGATGAGAAGCCCTGCCAGAAGCTGCCAGCCAATCAGATGCCAGCATCCACCAGGAGCATTGGAGGCCCAGTCTGCACACCCTGATGCAAAACAGAAATTGCTGACAAAACATAGCAGATCTGGCAGCATCTGTGGGACGAAACCAGATTTAACATTTCAAGTCCAGTGACCCTTCATCAGACTCTTCATTTGTTTTATGTTTATTCATATCCTGAAGACTAGAAGGGTCTAGGCCCAAAATGTCAGCCTTCCTGCTCCTATGATGCTGCTTGGCATGCTGTGTTCATCCAGCTCTGCACCTTGTTGTCTCAGGATCAATGAGGAGATGTGTTTTTTTTGGTGAGGGAGAGGGGTGGGTGATATTTGCATGTTGAGGGTCACTAGGAGGCAGGGGATGTCACAAAAGTCCGGACCAACGGCAGAGAGGTGGCTTTCAGTGGCCACTCCCACCTCAACTGCCCCTAGATTGGGACAGATGGAAGCCCCAATCTAACCCGGCAAAGAGGCCACTTTGTTTTTCTATCAGGAAGGCAGCCCTTTTCCTGGCCTGCTGGAAGAGCAGGTAATTGGGCCAGTGGCAGGTTGAGACTTTTAGTGTGTTCATTAGTTGCCTGTGGACCTTAAGACTATAAGACATAGGAGCAGAAATTAGGCCATTCGGCCCACCGAGTCTGCTCCGCCATTCAATCATGGCTGAAAAGTTCCTCAACCCCATTCTCCTGCTTTCTCCCTGTAACCCTTGATCCCAATGATAATCAAGAACCTATCTATGTACTCAATGACCTGGCCTCCACAGCTTTCTGTGGCAGTGAATTCCATAGATTCACCACTCTCTGGCTGAAGCAGTTTCTCCTTATATCCGTTCTGAAAGGTCTTCCCTTTACTCTAAGGCTGTGCCCTCGGGTCCTAGACTCTCCTACCAATGGAAGCATCTTCCCAACATCCACTTTGTCCAGGCCATTCAGTATTCTGTAAGCTTCAATTAGATCTCCCCTCATCCGTCTAAACTCCAATGAGTATAGTCCCAGAGTCCTCAAACATTCCTCATATGTTAAGCTTTCCATTACTGGGACCATTCTCGTGAACCTCATCTGAATCTGCTCCAGGGCAGTACATCCTTCCTGAGATATGGGGCCCAAAACTGCACGCAATACTCTAAATGTGACCTGACCAGAGCCTTATAAAGACTTAGCAGTACATCCCTGCTTTTATATTCAAGTCCTCTCAAAATAAATGCCAACATAGCATTTGCCTTCCTGACTACTGGCTCAACCTGCAAGTTTACCTTGAGAGAATCCTGGACTAGAACTCCCAAGACCTTCCCACCTAGATGTTAGTCACTGATGTAGTGGGAAGGATGGAGTATCTATTTAGAGCCAAAGCACCTGATCATTTAAAAACCAAAAGAACTGCGGATGCTGTAAATCAGGAACAAAAACAAAGTTGCTGGAAAAGCTCAGCAGGTCTGGCAGCATCTGTGAAGGAGAAAACAGAGTTAACGTTTCGGGTCCGGTGACCCTTCCTCAGAACTGAT